TTCTTTTGCTTTCCCCATTGTTCAAAAAGTTTTGTCTCTTCTCTGAAATAACATTTAAACATCAGTTGAGGCCTATCATTCAGGACTGCTGAAACTGAGGCCAGTGGTGTGGCATTGCTTTAATGCTAGAAGCCCATGTCTTTACCATCTCCCTGACAAATGCAGAATGCAAGACATAAGTTACTATTGCTTAATTTCTTTTAGATCATTTATTCCTATAGGTATCCATCTATCTTCTTTGGATCCTTTTGGACTTTTAGATCTTGATGTTTTGTCAGAGTTGATTATAGGGTAGGAAGCCAAAACCCTGAGTAAGCCATCTCTGACAGCTACTGGCAATTTTAAATCTTGTCCTTCTACCTTATTTCCTTACTTATCATCTCAAATAATTATCTCAATCATTTTAAATCTTCTTACTACTGTCTTTTGTAAAGCCTGAATCTCCCGGACTGTATATATTTCTACTTATTTCATTGAGGCACATAGCATCTGGTCTTCATTCTGCACATGTAATTCCAAGGTCTGAAGTTTTCCTCTAAAGATAATACCTCATCCTTGGACATTTTTGGATACCATGCTGATTTTCTTCTTTGAGAGATACTCTATCTTCTATCCTATCATAACTTTTTAACAAATTTTGATTTACAAACTCAACAGTATGAATTCTTTCAAATAATTTCTCAGTAACCTTTTGACATGGATTCAATTTTGTCTGTCAAATTAATGCTACCCTTTTTAATAGTATTAAATTTTTCAGGTAACTTTTGATTTTCAATGGTATTAATCTGGTCAGCTAGCTGTTCGCTATTAGTCTGTAAAACTGTATCATTTCCAAAAGTGTCTCACTCTTGGCTATGTTATCAAAGCATTTTATTAAGGAAATAATATGAAGAAAAAAACTGAGTCCCAATATCCAATAAATGGATGTTATCATCATAATCATATAAGTCTTGCAGAATACAATCCATAGTATTAGGAAAAAAGTTATATAAGCATTTTATTAAGGAAATAATATGAAGAAAAAAAACTGAGTCCCAATATCCAATAAATGGATGTTATCACCATAATCATATAAGCCTTGCAGAATACAATCCATAGTATTAGGAAAAAAGTTACTAAAATTCTCTGTGGTAATATTGTCTGCAAGTATATAACAGTCAAGTTTATTTATTTATTAATTAATAAAATATTTACCTGGTATGAGGTCTGGTAAATTGTTTTAGGTATAATAATCTTTATTATCTAGCAGGTATTGTGGTTGTAGAGTCATTACTAGAGGAGTAAACTGGTGCCACAAACAGTCCTGAGCCTCTTTGGTTTTCCCACCTTGGTGCTGGTTAAACACTGAGAAGTATGCTTTGCTTGACAAAATAAAAGCAAGTGAATTGATTCTGTACATAGAGCAAGAAGTCCAGAACTCAGGAGCCAAGAGTACAAACCAGAAGCTGTGCAAGTCACCCCATGACATGGAATGTGGCAAGGAATGTGGCAGTGTGTGTGGAGTGTGCAAGCTTGGGAGTTACATGCTCTAGAAGTTACCTTCACTGTGGCAGGAGCTTTACTTAGGTTAAAGAAAGCCAGGTGGGTGGTGTTGGGAGACTTTCTGAGCTGTGGACTGGTTAGGCCTTGAAGCTGGTCTACCTGGTAGGTGTGGACTTCTGAACCTTGTGGAGTGCCAGATGAATATGGATGCTTAAAAGAAATCTCACACTAGCTCAGAATTGAGTATAATAGAGGGTTATTTATTTAGGGATAGACTCACAGATTATAATCCTCTGCACAAATGGGGAACAGGAACCAAATCATGCTGATGGAATAGAATCCAGACATATGCTTTACTTCAGCATATATAGTATAAGAGGTCATGCCCAACTGGGTGAGTAACTTTATGGTTACTGGCTGTAGGAATTCCTACAGCACTAACCCACAAAATTCAGTCACCTTCTATATATAAATGATCAACAGACAGAGAAAGAAATTGGAGAAACAATAGCCCCCCAAATGTAAGATACCTGAGGTAACTCTAGCCAAAAAAAAAAAAAAGAATAAAGATTGAAGATATCAGAAGCTGAAGCAGTAGCCAATGTGTGTCAATCACTAGGATCAATTGAGTGAAAAAGTTCATCTTCCCACAAGCAACCTACAGATTCCCCAAAGCACCACAATTTCAACACAATTTCTCACAGAATTTGACAGGATAATTTTCCGTTTTATATAGAAATACAAAAGCCCAGGTTTGTTTACAAAATCCATAATAGTAAAATAATTTTTGGATGTATCATCAACCCTGACCTAAAATTATACTACAGTGCTATAAAATAAAAGGAGCAGGCTGTTGAAATAAAAACAGACATGCTGCTCAGTGGAATAAAACTGAGTATCCAGACATAATTCTATATAACTATGAACACCTGATCTTTAATAAAAAAACATAAATATACTTTGGGAGTTACATATAGAAGAATTTAAGCATATGCTTATAATCCTGTACAAAACTCAACTCCAAATTGATCAAGCACTTCAACAGTAAACTGGACATACTGTGCGAGATGGAAAAGGCAGTGAGAATTATTTTTAAACTCACTGGCATTGGCACAGCAAGAGACTTTCTGAACAGAACACCAACAACACAGACTTTACAAACAGTTAATAAATGAGACTTCAAGAAAATGGAAACCTAGTGTATGACAAAGGACACCCATCATTAAGGCAAAGCAGTAGCTTATGAATGAGAGAAGATCTTTATCAACTATTCATCTGATAGATGGCTAAGATAATATATAATATTCAGTATTCTTAACCATCAGGGAAATACAAATCAAATTTATTTTGAGATTTTACCTTACACAGTTAGAATAGATAAAACATAAAACAAATGACTGCTCATGCTGGTAAGAATGCTCATGGGAGTAAAAAACTGTGTAGCCACTATAAAAAATCAGTGTCACATTTTTTAATGAGAGGGGAGGGAGAAAGAATCACAAAATTGGCTAGTGTATAAATATCAATTCGCATATTAAGATAAAATAAAACACAATTATACTTAATCCATGTGTTACACTTAATCCACGTGTAGTTCATAAAAACCTGCTTAGTGTTTTTGACATGATATAAAACATTTGAGTTACTAGAGATGCCCATTAATTTGCATAAGTCTGTATGTTTTACATAAAGTGAAATTTTATACTTTAGAAAACTGATTAAATCTTGAGTTAAGCTGGTATTTCTAGTAAATTTAATTTTAAAGTGAAATGTTTAGTGGTTATAAAAATATCATTACAATTTTTCTTGAAATTTGTTCACTCTGAGATTTGCAAAACTCTTACATTTGTATAAATAAAACCTATTTGCTAGTTTTAGAATTTTGATGAAATGCTTTTTAGAAACTTAGAAAAAAGTACTTCAGCCAATTTTGAATTGTCAGTCCTTAAGAAAAGGTATTTCATGCCATTTATATAAACTATTTAGATTTTTCTCTATGAATTGAAGTATTTCAAAAAATAAAATATCAAAATAGTGATAGAGTATGAAAGACATTCTTTGGATAACACAATAGACTTCCATGAGAATATGAACTTCTGTTACCTACTTTGGGGATACCTATTGAATCTTCACAATCTGGGAGAGCTTGGTTTGGGAGGCTCATTCATTGATACTAAGTATATTATGAGCTGTTTTTAGACACAGTGATTTGTTCAGAATTAATTTATTTAATATTTTTTCAAATAATTAGAGTAATTTTATCTCTTTTTATGTTTGTCAAAATAGTTTTGGTTTTGGAGGGTTTTTTGACATTTAGTAGTAACAACAATTATGAAACATAAGAAATTATCAAAAGACTCGCCTATATTTTGTTGCCATTCAATTGAATTCAATTAGATTTGCTTGATTATCAGTATTTCCTGATTTTTTTTTGGTTTAGTTACTTTTTATTTCAAAGTATATATCAATAGTACACATAGCAAGTTATTGCATTGTGATACTTTCATTCAAGTGTATTACATGCTCTTGTATTATTGATCCCTTATTTTCTCATCAGTTTCAGCAAATAAGTTGGATCAGAAAACACTGATTGCTCCATGACATACTATGGAATTTGATCACATATTTGATACTTCATGTCTCTGGGAATCAACATTTTCTTATCAGAATGTAGGACTAATAACTGCTTCTGCATCTCAGACTGTGAAAGCAGTACAGATTTTCTGAGATGGTACTTGTTTCAAAGAAGTTCTCATGGAATATGCCCTCAAGAAAATTTACATGTGATTCCTTTTAAATGTTCTTGTGATTACATGCACTTATGGAAGAAAACTATGGTCAGATCAAAACAAATTTGGCTTCTGACTCCTGAAGGAAGATCCGTTTCTGACCGAGGCACATTGTCACCACCTATATTTCTTTACACACATAGCTGGTGGTTCCGTTACATAGGGTTAGGGCATTGCTCATTATTAGTATGGTACTTTGCAACCATCTGCTTCAACCTCTTGTGAGTTCAACCTTCAGAATGCTAGGACACATACTAAGGTCTTTCATGTTGTAGTGACCTAACTGTAAAATTATTTTTATTGCTTCTTCAGAATTGTCATTTTTCTACTTTTTAAAACAGCAAAATAATACCTGATGCATTATATCTGATACACTGACACTTGTTGAGGAGTCATTCAAACAACCCCAAAAAGAACTGAGAAATACAGATGTAACATTTTTTGAAACAAAATATGTAGTATCTATTGTTTACAATGCATAAGATTCTCTTCCACCACTTGCTTTCTGCTGGCAATGCTGTACTCTGTAGTTGCAGTTTCCCTACATTATAATTTCCACTTCCTGAATTCCCTTAGATTGGTCTTATTTTTATTGCATCTACTTCTTGAACAGTCTTACTGGTTTTCTTCAAACGTTTGCTTTTTTCTTAAAATGCTTGACATCCTTTAACTGATTTGTTGATTGCCTCTGATTTTTGATGGTCTTTTACCGGTGAGAAAGGACCAAGATCAGTCTGATTTGTGGCAGTTCCTCTGATGACGGTGGTATGTGGACGATTGGCGAAAATTACACTGACACTTGGAGCAAGTGTAGGGCTTCTCACCTGTATGTATCCTCTTGTGAGCTTTCAGGTTGGTTTTATGGCTGAATGCCATTACACAATTAGGGCATTTGAAAGGCTTCTCTTTCTTGTGTATGATCTCATGGACTCTCAAGTCTGAGATAGTATAGAAGCCTTTATGACATGTTGTACATACAAATGACCTCTCCTTCTTTTGTACTTTCTTGTGAACAGAAAGATTAGAGTTTGTGTCTCTGTGGAGTCTCTTGTGGTGACCCTCACACGTGCAGTTTGCTGCATGATTCTGGAAGTCTTCAGTCTGCTTTGGTCTGGAGGAAATTCCTGGTTGTATCTCCACCATGGGGACATCTCCAGAAGAAGCTGTACTCTGAGATTCTTCCTGGTACCTAGCAGTGTCCTGAGATCCAGAGGGATTTCATCAGAAACAGCTCCTGGTTGTACCTCCACCATAGAGACATCTCCAGAAGAAGCTGTACTCTGAGATTTTTCCTGGTACTTAGCAGTGTCCTGAGATCCAGAGGGATTTCATCAGAAACAGCTCCCTCGTTGCGATCATGAAACTTATCTGTTGCCAATAATCTGTCCTGGGATATGGGCAAGGGTGTCCTTTCATTCTCTAGAGTTGACACTGTTGCTAATTGTTGTTCTTTAAAACGCTCGATGACTTCTTTTCATGTCATGTTCTCAGAAAAGACTGCCTCCTGCCCATGCATGGAGACATGAACCGTGACAGGAGGCTTCAAGCACTCATCAGTCAGTTCCCCCATGAGTTTCCCCAGGTTTCTTCCACTTGATTCCCACAACTCCTTTACAGAAAACTTGTCCTTGGAGCGCCCGATTTTGAGAAACTGCTCCAAGACAAGCTGAGCAAGCATCTGCTCCTTGATCTGCTCTTCTGGCTTCAACCATGAGGCAAACATCTCCCAGAGTGTTTTCAACTCCTGCTTTGCACAGGAGCCATTGTCATTTGGGGAAAAGTTGAGGAAAACGCTAGTAGAGTTAGAGATGTCTTCATTCCACTGCACAGGAGAAACCTGGCTTGGAATGAACTCCATGTTTCCTACTACACCATCATTTTCTGGTGTCAGGGGCTTAAAGGAGTCTTTGAGGTGTGAAGCCATTCTGATGAGTATCCCCAGAAAGAATAAAATAGGGCAGCTCAGTATCTTTCTTGTGACTTGAAGATTTGTTTAAGAAATCTGTGAAATGTGCTAAACAATGAATTAAATGAGTAAAACAATTATTAATATCAAAGATCTACTAAGAGACTTTTCAAAGTAAATACTTCTTCAGAGTCCTACACAAATTTTTCCAAAGTCCAGAACAGAGAAAGAAATGTGAGTATAATATTCTTTACACAGCAGGAAGAAAAATCCTGGTTTGAGGATAAGAAGACCTGAAAAAAACACAACAAGCTGTGTGGTAGCCAAGGGTTATCTGCTCACCCCTTTGTAAATGGTAAAGTTGTTGTTGCAGAGCCTTGAATTTTGTTTCACAAGGGTCTCCCCTATTAAGTGCAACTGAACAATACTTTCATAAGAAAAACATTAAAAGTGAATGACCAACAACCATGAGTTTGCAGAGTAGCAAGAACATGTCCATAAAACAAGAGACCATATACCTAATCTTCAAATATTTAAAGGGCAAGTGCTTGAGCAGAAAGGTTTTCCAAAAGACCACACAACAACTTAGAGACCTTCCCACAATTGTAAAGCAGCATCTCCCAAAAGCCACAAAATTAACAAACCTACACTAACCCACACCACAAAGAAGGGAAATGTTTCTGTTCACCAAAGTGGTCTCTTTCTAGGGCAGATCAGGGCTGATTCCAGCAGCACTAGGTGCTGATGTTTCTTCAGGCCTGTGATCTGCTTCAACTGAACTTCTGCTCAAGCTCTTGTCCTTTTATAGTACCTGACTTCAATGATTCAATCTGTTATGCTAATTAGTTAGATAATCCCTTCGATCACACCTCCTGTATCTGGGCATGGCAGCCATGACCTTGTACCTAATAATCACTCTGGTGAGCATTAGGGACTCCAGTTCAAGCACAGCCTTGTAGCCGAAAAAGACCAAGTTCAGCATAGCCTAGGTGAACAGCATTCACATAGCAGGAAAAAGCAAACAAACAAATACACTAACATATCAGGGGAAGACATTTTGACCTTTGACTGAGTTACAAATGGAATTCTCCTTCAGGCCTAACTCAGAATCTCTATGCAAATCTCTGTGATCCCATGGAAGGAGAACCCATCCAAAGCAAGCATAGTTAGTCACTGCACTGAAAGGGGACATCTCCACACTGAAAGGAATATCAAGTCTGTCATTTATCTATGAATTCTGATCAACATGCTTTAATTAATTAAAGTTTAGAATATAAAAATACAGTCATGGTTTCAATGAAGATAAAACAATATTTTTATACGGAGGATTCAATTATTTATACATTTTTGCTAAAGTTTTTTAAGGATTTGAATTTTTCAGTGGTATATAATTTGTATTTGGATAAGTAAATCTCACCTGAGGAGCCTAGGCTCATCTAAAGCCACTAGAGGTTGGGTAATAGTGAAACACTCCTTTAATCCCGGGATCTGAGATAGAGGCAGATGGATCTCTGTGATATCAAGGCTACCCTGGGCTACAGAAGATCAGTTCAGAAACAAATCCTGATGTTGGTGGCCTAAATCTTTAATCCATGTACTAGGGAGGCATATGCCTTTAATCCCAGCTCTAGACACAAGAAAAAATGAGAGGAAAAACGCTTCAGTATTGTTATTCCTTTGCGGTGACTTTAAGGATTAACCACGCCCACCCCAGCCACTTCTGACCTCCCTTGTCACCATCTTCCCCTGTCTAATGTTTGTCTCTTGTCGTGTGTGCATGTGTCTTTGTTTCTTTCTATGTTTCCCTTTATGTCTCTCTGTTTTCCTCTTCTTTAAGCAATAAATGTCTCCCTCTTCTTTAAATAATACTATGTCCTGTGAGCCTTTTATCCACCTTAACCGCCTGCCCGACTCCCCCGGCCGCATGGCGCTGCCACCCTGGAGATCTTGCAGGGGCCCACAGCCATTCCTGTCGGACTAGCAGTTGCTCTGAGAGCCGCCCGGAGCATCCCATCATCATATTCTTTTTTTTTTATGGGAAAGTAATTTTATTAAATTATAAAAGTTTCCATTTCCATCCCTCCTCCCAACACCCTCCCACTCCCACCACTCCCTCTCCTCCTCCCTCTCCATCCCTAAGAGCAGTCAGGGTTTCCTGCCCTGTGGGAAGTTCAAGTTCCTCCCCCCTCCCTCCATGTCCAGGAAGGTGAGTATCCAAACAGACTGGATCCCAAAAATCCAGTATATGCAGAGGAAACAAGTCCCAGTGTCATTGTCAATGGCTTTTCAAAAAGACTCCGGGCCAGCCACATTCAGAGAATCCGGCCACATTCAGAGAATCTGGTTGGATCACATGCTCGTTCAGTCCCAGTCCAACTGGCCTTGGTAAACTCTCATTAGATCCGTCCCCTTGTATCAGTGGGTGATCGCATCCCTCGCAGTCCTGATTTACTTTTTCATTTTCTTCCTCCTTCTGCTCCTCATTTGGACCTTGGGGGGCTCAGTCTGGTGCTCCAATGTGGGTCTCCGTCTGTATCGTCATCCATCGTCGGATGAAGGTTCCCTCTGGTCTTGCCTTCTTTGCTCACATTCTCTTTCCTTCTGCTTCTCGTTTGGACCTAGGGAGTTAAGTCCAGTGTTCCAATGTGGGTCTCTGTTTCTATCTCCATCCATCTCCAGATGAAGGTTCTATGGTGATAAGCAAAATATTCATCAGTATGGTTATGGGCCAAGGCCATTTCAGGCACCCTCTTCTCTGTCCAGAGAACAATCTGGGGATCTCTCCTTGGACCTGGGATCCCATTTATAATCAAGTCTCCTGTAAAGAACAATAAGTATGATTAGTGTATGGTTGCCCAGCCTCGATAGAGGTAGACTTCTCTAATGATTTGGCTGTTTTGATTTTCTGCTGTTAATGTTTTTTTTGTATTTCCTGAATTTATAAATTATTTTAAAGTTTTTGTAAGTAACAATAGCAGGAAGATAATTCATATACAGAAATAATTTAAATATTGACTCAAAATAAATCTATATATGACATCATTTTCAATTGATTCAATTTTGAGCATAATATCTAAATTCTCTTCTTTTAATTACTTTCTGTCCTCTTAATTATAAAATTTTTCATTTGGAGACAAGTTTTCAGTTTGGTATTTGAGATGAAAACATTATTTGTCAAAGTACAAGACATATTGCAATTCCTATAAATGAGATTTTTAAAACTTTCTTGGTTTTAGTAGAAAAACAATTACAGCCATAAATTATATTCATTGTCTATAATAACACAATAAATAAAAATTCCTACTCAAACCATAATTTTTTGTGAATTATTATATAATATTTAAAGCTTGGATTCTGATGTGTCTCAGTGGTAGACTACACACCTAATGTTCATGAGAACCTGGGTTTATTCCTCAAGATTACTAAAATATAGGATAAAATTGCAACCAACTGGAAAATTGAAAAAAATGAAGATTAACTAATCAGTTTAAGGCCAGTAATAAGAAATATTGAAAACATGGAGATTATATTCAAAGAAAATACACCATTAAGGCTGACAACCAACTGCATGGGTACTAGGCAGTCAAGGAAGAGCTTACATGACTATTACCATTTTAAAGAAATCTCAGTATGACTTTTAAACATAATTCAGATGGAATATTACTCATAGTTTTCAGTTTGCATGGCAAAAAGTAGAGTTGCAATCTCTATGAGTAGAAAATGCTTCTGGGGCCTCAATCCTAGAAGAAGAATTACAGGTAATTAAGTAAACTTGAGAGTAGGTGATGCGACATTCCTGAAGAAAGAACACATCAGTTGATTGTTCTGTACCAAATAGACAGTCCAGAAAGCTTACATACAAGTAACATTATATGGACTTAACAAGTTATACTTGGAATACATATGTGTGTTTTCTTACACAAATGTACAAGTATTCAATAGCAATTGATGAAAAAATAGACCATGAATTTGAAGGAGATAGCAGAAGGGTATAAGGAAAGTTATTGAGAGAGGCAAATAAAATGAGAAATGTTGTGATGAAATTACTATATCAAAAGTAAAATAAAATAAAGTAAGAGTGGATTATACTTTTATCCTCTGCTTTCCAAAGGAAAGAACTTTTCACAGCACAGTGAAAAAATTAGAGTGCAAGGATCAACTCAATGACCACAGGAAATTCAATTGAGATTTGGGGAATTGAGTCATGCAAGCTATATCAGAGGCTCTCTGAGGGCATTCAACGAAACAATGGGGATACTGTCTTACTACAGTGGAGGTGGCAATTTTCCAATAGGCAGCTCAGATACAAAGATGTCCAAGGAAACTTCAAGGCTTCTTGCCTGTGTAAGTTCATCTCTGGGTGGGTTTTTATGTCTGTCTGTTGCTCCTTATGTTGTTGCTACTGCTGCCATCTTCCATTGCCCTCAGATTCCAGGTTCTTCACCCAACATAAAGTGAAGATCAGGAATCTTACTGTTATTCATCACCGGAGTGTGATAACTGAGACATCCAGCTCAATAGACTGAACAATTCAAGTTGTTCTTAGCCTCTTCGTGGGACAGATGGCAGGGAGATCTGACAAGTTATTTGCGGAAAGATAGGGGAGCACAGGATGGGTAACAGAAGATAGTTATAACATCAATCAATTAAGGCTACATGACCAGTTACATAAGAAAGAGGTATAACATCATACGTGTTTCCTATCTATTTTATAAAGAACGTGTTTTAGATAGAAACCTTAAGTAGATACTTGTATATTTATTTCCTCTTTCTTCATCATATACGATAATATCTACTGAGTGTTGTAAATCCATATCATCATCTTTATCTTATGGGATAATGAAAGATTAAACTGTCTTCAAGAGACAGTTTTTATTCTAGAGAAAGGATCATGTATTTTGGTGGTGTTTGTGACATAGTTATACTATGTTAAGTGGAATAACTAGCTATTATCCATTGTTTTCACTTGGAAATTAAGTACGTCAAAAAGAGATGTGATCAAGTGTCACATCACAAAT